ATAAGCCTGGAATCCAGAAGACATCACAGAACCTAATTTTGTCAGGTGACTAAGACAAAATATATGCATTTAAATAGAATTAAAAAAAAAAAAGCCAACAAAACACAACCTAGTACTGAAAGAGAGAAGGAACACAAATAAACCTTGTACGCTGAACTAGCAGACTGACCAGTATATACACTCAAAAATACCTAAAAACGTACTCAGCAACTGATTAACATTATGTTTCCCATTATTCCTTTCATCTCTTTTAATTCTGTTAATATTGTAAATGAAATTAGAACAATGTTTCAAACAAGAAATAAAGAACCGAACTAGATTTCATTGTTGCTGCATGTTAAAACTGAAGTCTGTTGTAAAGGCTCAGAAGCCGACACTGAAATTAAAATGAAAATTTAAATGAAAGTTACTTATTAACAATAAATCTAATTAAGTTAATAATACTGCCTTCTAACACCAGCAGTCACACCTTAGATCAAAATAAAGGGGTAAATGTATAATTACATTGTGCACAAGTTGTTTCTGAAATTCAGAACTTTCATATTGGAAAGAGCATTATGTTGAAAAAGTAAACAATAAAAGTTTTAGCACATCGGCTAAATTAAAATTTGCCCCATGCAAACAATTTGCCTTTCCTTATATTTAAAACTAACAAAAAACATATGCATGAGTAAATAACTGATAATTAAACGACAATGGCCTAAGTGTTGCTCACCTAGGCATACGATTTTTCCACACTGACAGAAATATGGTATAAAAATGCAGTTTTACTTATTTTTCAAAGCTTGCTCAAAAGGGAGGACTCTTAATTTCATTCCAATTTGTCCTTCAGAAATGTTCATTTATTACAGTTCTTCTCATTCCTCTATTTTCCCTTTGATTTCCTCATGAATTATATGATTTCAAGGAAGTACTGTCCCCCATACTTACAGACAGATGACTGCAAAGTTGTCAGTGAGAAACAGATTGGCAAGGTTTTTGGATAACATTTTTCTGAATATTCATTCTATACATTACAAGACTTTAGGCAGTCAAATTAAGCATGAATGTTCATATTGACAGAACTCAAAGAAAGCATTTTAAAGACAAAAATATGCCAGTGAGTTATTAACATGACATAGAAAACCCTATGGAGGCAGGGACAGAATCCTGCCTCCACATTTTCCTCCGGTCCCAGATTACGCTTCAGTCCTCAAAACCTCTAACAACTGAGGATAGATTTTTGACTGTAACAGTTCCACTTAATACAAAACCCATTTTTATCTCCAAAACATTTCATGAAGCAAGTCAAGCATACCCATGTGGGAAAAGATACTATTTAAAGATTGGATTATAATTGATTGTCTTGGTGTTGTTTTTCCTAATTTTTACTGTCACTGAACAGAAAGCAAACAGAAAAATCACAATGGAAACCAGAAAATTCTCCTTCTGCATTGGTCTATATGGCTCAACAACGGAATTGGCCACACCTATATGTAACTTCTGCACAGCAGATTTTTATGGATTTGAGTCATTTGGCTGATGTTGTAGACCTTGACTTTTGTAACCTTGATTCTAAAAAAGAAACAACATTGATGGCATTGGCAACGTTAAGACATTTAGGCCATTGTGTTTCTCAGTGGCACTGCCTATATATAGCATGTAGCATTGCCTGTAGTGCTACTAAAGCATATAGTAATATATACATAACTTTTGTCAGCTGCACTTTCTGCACGGAAAGTGATTGGTAACATTAATAGGCTGTCATCCCTAGAAGACAGAAGTGCAAGACTGAGCAGATTTCTGCCATTACACTGCAGCGTCTGGTAAGATCACTGATCTAGTATCAGATCTCTACACCCTTTCATTTGCACTTCAAGTCTGTCTCCTGTTTATATAATCCATTTGGATCCATTTCCGTGTAATCCTATTTCTAAATCCTACTCTAATTTACATGTCTACCTTAATCATCCAGCCCTAGCTTCCCACTTTGTCCATTGCTTGATACCAGTCTTTACTACAAGCTTTTCCTTGCAGTCTGCTCCCTCGCTTGCTGTCACCTTATCATCCACTGGCATTGGTATTCACCCCATGAACAACTCCACCTTCCCAAAAGCATTATCTTTGCCATGGTCCAGATCAAGTGTTCTCTGCATTTTCTTCAGGATTCCAGCTTCTTCATTCTGCTTGATAACAGCAGGGGGAGCATCAAGAAAGGAATATGTGGTAGTACTTGATGGGTGCACTTGTTCAGGAACTGTTGCAGTCTTGAAGCTCTGAGCTGGACTAGCCACATGGGAAATTCATCATCATAAAATTCTTTATGTTATTCGTAACCAATTCCTGAGTATTCTTATACTTACATTTTTCAAAAATGTCCTTAGCAAAAGTTCTATCTGTGGCATCAAAATGCCCCTATTCTGGTCAGATTTTCAATCACCAGATGGAATGCTTGAAAGTTTCAGACTGTATCAGGGAAACTGTTTGCCTTTTACTGTATCTTTTAAACACGGGCAAATTGATGCTTTTTCCCTCTCCTTTCAAAAAGAGAACTGTTCTTGTCAAAATCTGCCTTTATACTATCGCTAGTGCTATTTGAAAGCTAATGCAGAAACACCATATAAAAAAAACTTCAGCCCAAACTATTAAGTCTTGGTGATCAGGAATAATTGTATCCATTAAGGAACATGGAGTAACTTCACTTACGCAACACTGACAGTACCACTCAAAATATGTAGGCCTCAGTACGCAACTGAGGCCTACATATTTCGTATTGCCAACTTTTTTTTTTCTTTTTAAAAATTAAGGCTAGAGAAGTCAAGATCTAAACGGGCCAAATGACTCAAACCAAATCTTTAAATTCTGCAGTCATAAATGTACTGAAGAACAGATAATTTCTACCATACAAATACTTTTTTTTCCCCCTCAACAAATCAACGTGTTGATCTTCAGCAAATCCTTGAGCGAACCGTGCGTTTGACTCAGCGTGACTCCAAGTCATCTGTACGCGATTTTAGTTTAATAAAGTAGATGCTCTGCGTGCTGTACTTAGAGATAAAATGTAAAGTACAGGTTTTCTGTTTCTTTGTTTTGGGTTTTTCTAAGAGGAAAAGATGCTGTACTAACTGCATCTTTTAGAATAATTAATGGTATATTTTCTGAACTATAATTCTGTCATACAATTTAATTTTGTTTGTGAATAGTAGTTTATAGGAAAAAACCAATTATATGGTTGCTGGGTGATTTTTTTTTTAATTGAATACTGAAAAGAAGTCAGATTCTCATATGTCCCATGAGGAGGTGGAGAATTTTTTTCCCCAATCCTTTTCAATTTTTAAGTTCCTCTACCTCTTCCAAGAGGGAAGCTTTCCCAGCCGCTTACTAATGTTACCTTCAGAGCTCCAAATATTTTCAGGATCAACTAATCATTGCTATAAGCAGACAAACTGAAGGTGCTCAGTTACATTTTTTTATACCAATGGCCAACAGGGGACATCTGACAGAATTTATCGATGAGAAAGACAGATTATTAAGGTGGAAAAGCATGGAAGAAGTGACTATATGTTCCCTCCAAGCATGTCTAGCTTGGGGATTAACCAAAAAAAACCCAACTCAAACAACTTTCTTACTACTTCAAATTGGCATCTCTTGGCCAACACTCTGTTATGTAGCCCTGAAGGAGTCTCCAATAACCACCATCTTTGCTTCAATAAAAAGTTGCAGAGAAAGTACATAAAACCAACAATAAACTGGACAGCAAGCAGACTAAGGCACACCTCTAACAGAAATTCAGTATTCTCTTCAAATGAAAAAATACTACAGAACAGTTGTGAAGGCAATGTGAGTCTAAGTAGATCCCAATGCCCTAAATCAAGAAATGAACATATGAAGTCTGACACAATGATTTCTTTCTCTTTGTTAGCTGGTGGGAATGCAAACATGCCAAGCAAAAGCATACTTAAAACATGATGAGAAGTTACGTATTGTTCAGATACAAATTTGAATGTGCAAGATTAAAATCTAAATTATTTCCGCTATTAACTGTATTAGAGCATATATTCTGAGCACAAAGGCAGTGGTGGAAGATAGAACAGACACTTTTCTTTAAAGCAATAAACCCTAAGATCTTTGTGTTTTTAAAGCCCAGTAAGCAAGCACTGCAGCTCTCGGATCACAGATTACATGCAAGCTTCTTGTAATTAACTCCCTATCAAGTTCTAAAGTACTACAAAATTTCTACTGAGCTTGCCATATACAACTCTGAAACAATCAAAACAAGAAAGTAAATTGCCATGTCAATCATTGATTTACTAAAAATGAATACAAGATCACCTTCAAAATGCCATGTACCGTATTACTGCAACTAACTTCTATTTGGTATTAACCAGGCATTCATGCAGTGAGTGAGTCAGATGTGTCACAAATTAGATGTTCAAAGGACCTAAATGTTAAGAAGTGTACAGTATTCACTACTTAAAAAAAACTCATCTATATTATGCTTCCTTAGAACAGAGGCTCTTAAACTACCTAAATAATGACTAACATCTCAGTCATTCTAAAGAGCTTATACCTGCTCTTCTTCAATGGCTTAACATTCTTTGGTGAACTACTGTTATAGTATGCATTTTCCCATAATTTTACCTTTTCAGAACTGTAATTACATCTATTACAAAAGTGGCCAGATTCTTTGGAAAAAAAAACCAAACAATCTCAATGAATTTCGTAAGAAAATAGCAAAGATGTCTTTTATAATTCTTCCTATTATACATAAGCAATGAAGCAAAATAATCACAAAAAACAAGTATTAAAGAGATTATCAATTATAAAAGCTGCTTTAATAATTTGGGGGTATTTGAAAAATGATTTAGGAATTAAGTAAAGTATATGAGAACGAACTTATTATAAGAACTTGTCAAAAGTTAAAAACACAGACTAGAAAAAAGTTTATAATTGTACAGTATATTTTAGCTCCTATCAATCACTGCTAAAATAATTTCAGAGTTTAATAAGCAGATATTTACCTGCTGGAACCAGACAATCTTTCCAATCAAAATATCCTGCATAAATGCCAGTTTCTAATGACCCAACTATCGGATCTGCCTTGAATTCAATGTACATTTCAAAGAGTCTTTGATCCAGCTCTTTCAAGGATTCCATACTAACCTAAAAAACAAAACAACAAAGGAAATAGAAAGAACATAATAGTCATTAATTACAAGAATTAAATCACATACCCAAAAAGTTACATCATGTCATCTTTAACTTTTTGTACAGAGTAGTAATTACTTAGACATTTCAAGCCATAGTTACATAATAAAAAAAAGAACAACTTCCATATTATCTGTCCATCTTACCCAGTACATTCTTTTTGGGATGGCATGGTTGGGTGGTTTTTTGGTTGTGTTTTGGTGGGGTTTGTTTGTTTGTGGGTTTGGTTTTTTTTTTTTTTTTAGTTTCCAGCAACAGACATTTTGGGGAAAGGTCCAAGAAATGCTGAAGAAGCCAGGTCACTCCGTAACTGCCTAACAACATGATGTTTTTTTCCTGCCTGTCAGAAAGTCCTGATCTTACACCAACTAAACAACTGAATTTTGACAATACTTTAAGATATGCCCATAATAATTGCCATCCTGAAACATGGATATTTTACTGTAATACTTAAAATCTACCAATTGTAATATTACAATTTTTCCTATCTGCTCTATACTTGAGCAATACATAGATTTATTTAGGACTCTGCCTTCTGAAACCGTACATGTGAAGTTCCCCTTTTACTTCAAGGCATCACCATACAAAATTGTCTAAGCTGCAGATCACAAGCATCTGCAGATTTTTTTTTAACAGCTCTCTACGTAATTTTTAGTAATTCACAGAACTTAGCCTCACTGAAAGCTAAACGGATATACACAATTTTCCCAGTGTATCTGAACAACTTCAAATTTGAAATAAGACTTTTATTAAACATAGGTACCCCTTCTAACTGTGGCTTCTAAAACAACTCTGGAACACAGAGCATAATGTTAAAGTTGAAAGTATTTTAGCATGGTAATGGATGCTAAATGCAAAGAAAATATGCTGAAAGTATCATGTGACTTCTGCGTAAATGTATTTATGTTTATAAGCAAGAGCTTAAGAGATAGCAAAGTAAAGTTTTTGAACTATTACTTATTTTCCTCAACCATCGGGGGAAAAAAGCATATACACACATATATATATATACACATACACACACACACATATATATATATATATGAGAATTTCCAGAAGCAAAGGGGTTTAGAAGTGAGGAAGGAGGCAAGACTCCAGAACAAAGTGGGAATTCACTTTGAATAATACCAACTCTGCATCACTCCTTTCTCTGTGAAAGACAAAAGATTTAATGCTGCAAGCTGCAGAATAAGGGATGAAGGTTATTCACTGCAGGGATGCCTCTAAACTGGGTTCCCTTCTTCTCTTAACAGTATAGGCGTGCTAAAGGGAACTGCGATATCTGAGTAAGGAATAGGTAAGAGAGATAAGCCTTCAGGAATGAGATAATAAGAGCAATGGAAATGAGAGGTATTATTGAGGTCAAAGTTGTTGCTGGATTCAGGAAAGTTGAGATGGTGAAGATGATGCTCAGAGCCAAGAGACACTACCATTTTCCTGCTTTTCTATCTGATGAACCTCCTTTAATTTGACACAAGAGGTTGTATATCCCAAAGACAGGATTTTCATGAGGCACTGAGAATTTGGTCCCAGGAGAAGATTAAGGCCATTTTCTTCTTATTTCCCTTCTACCCAACAGCCTGTTGACACTCCAGACTTGAAAAAGAACACACTAAAAAAAAAGTACAAAAATCTCACTAAACCCTCTTTTTCCCCTTACACAGACTCACAGGAACGTAAACCTGGAATGTGTCTCAAGACATTCGTCACTTCAACTTCTTATGATTAGGGAGAATAACTATCTTTAGACCATTCCTATTTAGGTTTGAACTAGTGGGAAAAATAATGTTCAAGCTCCAGTGGGAAGCCCCTGCAAACATGCCCCCCATTCAAATAATCTGTGAAACAACAGCTTCCGTTGTCCTTAAAAGTGTTTCAGAACTAAGTAATTCCACCTTCCACTTCTGCAGTCATACAATAAAAAAGATCACATTCAGTGCAAGTTTTTTCTTTCACGCAAGCCCTACTCAAACTGTTTAAAGTTCAATGCATAATTGAAGATAGTGGTGGGCACCCTTGTTTTTCAGCTGGTGGAAAGATTAAAAGAAAGAATGAACAATTCATGTCAATCTTATTTCAAGCCCAGAATGGGGGAGTGAAGCTGAATAGAAGTCCTCCACAACCTCTGTTGTGTATATCCATTTTACTGACTCTCAAGTGGGGTAAATGCTATGAAAATGCACTTTTTTTTTTTTTAATCTTTCTGCTGTGGACTTCCCTGTAACTAGATTTTTCAATTTTTTTATTAAAGCCATTTTGAGTCTCTATCTTTGTAACCCTTCTACCTTATCTAGGTATCAAGACTGTGGAAACAATTTTATTCAGATGCTTAATCAATAAAGCTAGGATGAGTATTATGGGATACATAATTTTTTTACCACCTGACTAAACAGATGAGGGAAAGTTGAATTAAAGATTCTTCACAGAAAGCCACTTAAGAGTTATGTAGAAATTATATTTAATTACTGGTAAGTAATTACCCTAAGTATGTGCCAAGATGGCTGGTGCTAAAGCAGAGTGTAAAATTTGGCCATTTTATGTAACTCCGTATTTGCACTGGTAGAAAAAGAAAATAGAAATTACTGAAGAATGTAAGGAAGCTTTCTTGTTTCCCATGAGTTCTGTATTTTCAGCATAATAGATAATAATGATTTCCCCTCTAACAAAGGTAATTTTAAACACCCAACCAAAACAATAGGTAGTTTTTACCAATATACACTACAAAATTCACTTTAAAATTCAATTTATAAAGCTAACAGAATTTAAAAGTATAGTTTTGTTTCAGTCTTCTCCATTTGTCAATTCTTTATTGTAAATTTTTTATCTAATGAATAGTTAAATAAAGAAACTTACAGAAATTTAGGTGACGGAACAAAAACCTGAAACAATCAATCCCCCCAAACTGTGGGCTTCTAGCTTCTCTTAAGATTAATGGGTTGAAAACCTTCCTTCTTAAGCTGACCATCTAATTATCCAAATACTCCCAGCTTGAATTACTGATTGACGTGTCTCATATATTCAGGACCGCAGCAGTCAGCACTTTCAAAGGGTTAACACAGATTTGAAATTAATGTGCAACTTCAACACTCAAATTTTGTCATTTATAAACCTATCAGACTTAACAGAAATACTTTGATCCGATTGTATAAGACAACGTTGACTATATAACAGATGTCTGTCTTGCTTATACAGACAACACTAACAGCACCTAGCTCAACTCTCAGTTGTCTCAGCAGCAAAGAATGGCAATATCCAGAGTAATTTTGTATACTGTACTACCATAAAAGTCATATCAACCCCGTTTAAATGATATTCAAAATTATTTCAGCCACAGAAATTCAAACAACACTGAGGGAGAACAAGACTAAGGATGTACTATATAGCAGAAACATCAGTTTGAGTGAAATATTGTACTCTATATCGAGTCATCTGTAAAAGATAATATTTTACTTCCAACCAACAAATATTTCTGGAAATAAACTAGCTTTATGGTCCTAAGGATTAAGTCACAACATTTCTCATAAAAAATGATTAATCTTTACAAAAAGGCAGGAAAATGAGACAGCTACTGCCGCCCACTTTGACATTTTCGTTCTTTGAAAAAAAAAAAAACACCCAACCCAAACCCCAACAAAAAACACAACAAAAAACCCTGAACTAGTTTATGAACAACAGCTATCAGCAACGCAGATTGCCAGTTGAAATAATTTATCAAATACATTTCTGAGATAATGATCTTTTATCCTCTGCATTAAGAAAACACAGTGACATTAAACATCTTTACTAAGAAATCTGATAAGCTTTGCCATTGAACACACAAGTCCTGAGTAAGAGGTCAAATTCTCTATGCCGGCTATTTAAGCCTTATAGGAACACAAATACAATCACTGTTGCTGCTATTGTGTCCAGCTGATGCCTGGAGTCCCACTCATGAGCGGAAGACTCTCCCAAGAGGCCTGGTCAGGTCATATGAACACATAAATGATTTCCACACAAAGTAAAACAAATAAAAACTGTTCCCTTCAAGCAATGATACTTCGTTCCAGCGCCTTCACTTACTTGAGTTATTTTTTCAACACCTTGAAAGCCATGTTTCTCAAAATGTTCAGCTATGTTTAGGAAGGTATGACGTTCCAGGTAACAGCAGTTGCTGAGTGCAATTAAAAGCCTCTGTTCCTACAAATTTGTGTTAAGAGAAGAAAGAATACAATAGTTAAGAAAAAGAAACACCAGCATGACCAATACGGTAAATGTGTTTCACTGGCTCTGTGTGTGATAAACATGCTGATAAATGGAGTTTACAAATATTTTTGTCAATAAACCACGAAGAACTGAATGAATATCAGGTATGATGATTGAACACGTATGCTCTGTCTTATGGGATCCGGAACATTCACTGGAATAGCTGTGACTAATACAGAGCTGTGGTTAAGACTTCTTGACAAAAATTGGGTATGGACAGCTTTCCAGGAAGCTGTTTCTGGTTTTACTTTGTTTCAAGAAATATGCTAAGAATTATGACCATCAAAAAAATGTAACTGAAGATGATCTTCACTTCCACATGAAGCTGGCCTGAAACAAGGGAAGCAAAACAGGTATGGAATGAATGCACTCACCCATTCTAAAATACTAATGGTTCAGAAGTACATCATATAATATCAGCAGTTAATTTGAAAAAAATCTAGGTGGCTACAATTTACCTCTATTCTTCAATGATTTCTTTTAATTACAAGACAGTCAAATACATTATGGAGCTGAGATAACAGGATTGCCTTTCCTGACCTTGATGCAACAAGGTTTAGTTTCCAAAGAAACTAATAACCAAACAAGAAAACTAGTATTTAAATAGACTTGGTCTTCTCTCTGCCCCTCTCCTTCCTCCACTGGGAAAACATTTTTCTACCTCAGATAATTGTTCAAAATCAGGAGCAGCAAATATTTTGAAAACAAATTTATTTGGTAATGTAATCATCATAATACTACAGATGTGTTTAAAAATGGTGTTGGTTTTCAGAACCAGAAGAATTACTGACAGTTTTGCATTTCAGTAATATGACAACTAGTGGCAGTTGCCTCCTACTTTATATTATAATCATTTTGTATATAAACTATTCAAAAAATGAGCTTTTTAAAAATAGTGATAAATCTTACTCTGGTCACTCACTTTCTCTGTTCTCATTACTCAATCAGGAAAAAGAAGATAAAGTGTTCTGTGAGTTACAGAAAAAAAGATAAGATGACAATGTTTGGTTTCCAGAGTGTCAGAAATCATTGATTTTTTCTTATTTAAACATTCATACCTATGACATATGGGACGAAGTCCAGAACAGCCACAAGCAGTTACTTTGTCAATAATATGAAAGTCTACGTGTTGCAATAATAAAATTATATAAAACCATTATTATTATAGTCTGCACTTCAGAAACTTGGCCTGATGTGGTAATCTGAAATTCTTTATTGTAGCAAAATTACTGCTCTTGTAAATGAGGCAAAGCTGGGCTCCTGACAACATTTAAAACCTGTACGGAATACTAACTTCCCAAGAGGTCCTCACTAGGTTTGTTGCAGGGAACAACTACATTTTTTCAATCAGCTGACCGGACAAGAAGAAAATACATTAACCAAAGTCAGTGTCGACTACATTAAACAACTTTTTTGCCAATTTCTTAAAAACAAAACCAAACCCAAACAAGCCATGTAAATAATTAATACTTACTCTCAGTAATTTTTTTTGGGAAAAATGACATTACTGAATATCTGTATCTTCATGGGTTTTAAGAAGTAACTAATAATCAGACAGTTCTTACCATTTAAAACAGGGTGATAGATCAAAAAGCCAAATCCTCAGCTGTTTTAATATCAGTGTTATTTTCACTGACTTCAGTGGTGCCATTTTAGTTTCTAAGGGGGACCCAGTTTCAAAGAATGCCTTCATTAGTTACTTTAAGACAGTATACTAGGATATAAACAAACAGTGGTTTACAAAAAGAACCACATTCCTGTAACTTTGAGAAGTAGCAAGTTTCATATCAGCTTTTAGAAACAGAAGCCAAACTTACTGAAGAAAGACTTGAGTCTTCATGAATGCTTCCAAACAAATCTGGAGACGAAACATCAACTGAAAGACTAAGAATATTGTTTAAGAAGTAGGTAGTATCGTGATTTTAATTATCTGATACATGATGGATTCAAACAAACAGCTAAAAGAAAAGACTATAATCTTGTTTCAAGCCCCACCACACCAGATAATAATGCATCCCACACTGCTCGGTTTAAGATGTCCAGACAGTAGTATTCTAACTCAGACCTTTCCTTCTGAAAGCATTTTCATTTTCTGTAATTCTCTGGTTTGCCACAGATTGCGATTTGTTTTTACCTGTATTCAGCCAACAGAGTAATCCCAATAGTAAAAAAGAAAGTGGCATTAGTTAAATTGCCTTTTTCTAATGCATATTGCAGGTACCAGAATTTGCCAAGTCTCTGGCTTTTCACAAAGAAATGATTGTTCCTCTTGGAAACACAGAGTATTCTGACTTGTTTTGGTCTCTAAAATTTGAAGTGGCTCATGAGCAATTATGGAACAAACAACCTCTCAAGAATTTAGAAGAAATACCAATAGAATCAGTCAAAATAGAAGGGAACAAAAAAAGGCAGAGGCTGTTTCTCCATGAGCAGATATTAATTAGTGACAAGGACAACTCATCCCATGTAGGAGCATGTCAAAACCAACATAACCTGCTTCTACAGCACACTACAACTCCTGTCACTGAACAAAATGGTATAGCTAATACCATATTAATTACCCTGTAAAATATTTATTACATGATGCCACTCAATTGTTCGGCCTAAAAAATGTCTGCTCTCATTTCAAAGCATGACTAACCAGAGGCAAAAATATTCACAAGAACTATGACATATTAGAGATGATAAAAGCACACTACCACTGAAATTTGAGACTTGCACCCACAATTTCAGAACACTACACTTAAGTCATATTTAACTTACTGTGCAGTATCTATATCACCATCAGGTTTAGTGCTCAGTTGTTCCAAACAGTCTATAAAGACCTAAGAAACAATTAAAGCAAGATCCACATTTTCTGCCAGAACTAAAAAAATTTCTTAAATTTATTTTTACTACAGACAATAGAAGCAGAACAATCATCATCATCCTTCTTTACCTTAAACCGTACATACATTAATACAGTAACATTTTAGTTACACCTTTTGAATAAGTATTTTCAGTTTTATATGCATCACTGTTCACTTGTGGCAGAACAGAGTTTTTAATCCTGCGAGGCGATTCTCATCGTGCATGGCTGAAATTACGCAGCGATAATCTGCCGATTTGAAAAGGCGGCATTGGCAACAGTTTTCAAATGTTCAACCTGAACAGTTGATCCCAAGCAAGTACCACAGAAGCATCACAAAAATCCTTTTTTTTTTTTTTTTGGGTGCTTTGGCTCATGATTTCTTATTTGAGAAGACTACAAAAATGGTTCAAAAGCCTAAAATTCCAAATACATTAAAAACCCTCAGATTTTGTTACTAAGAATATTGGTTTCTGGTACAAAATGTAAAAGCTAGATCCTCAGCTGATGAAGATCAGCACTGCTGCTTTTACTGCAGTATATTAATGCTAGACGACATCGGCTCAGCAAGTGTCTCCTAATCATCAGTAAAATCTTCAACAGCCACAATCAGTAAAATACTTGAATATGTCACTTACCCACTCTCTGAGGATTTGATATCATCAGATTTAGCCAGTAATCTCTACATACTTTTAAAGTCAAATATTTCTCAGGATCCCAGAGTGCATCAGAGGAATAAAAGCCATCAAGTTAAGCCACCTTTTGGGAGGTGGGCAAGGTACAAAGCATACATTTTTGTCGATCAGCCGAGTTCAAAAATATCATACTTCAATGTTACCTGCATGATCCCAATGCTTAGCTGGCACACATCCTCCTGTGTTTTCTGCTGCTGGAAAACCTGAAGATGAAACCATATTATTTCAGCGGAACAGCTTCACCTGGCCTCATTCTCAAGAAAGGCCTGTGTAACCTATCCCTAAAGAGGTGATAAAATTATAGGAATGGCTGCTGGGACACTGCTTTCTCATGATCAGTTTCATTTTTTCCTCCGCCCTAAAAATGGGGAGAGAGTATACAAGTTCCAATAAAGAGTCTGACAAGCATGAGGAGACAACATACTAAAAGGAAAGAAGTCCTAATAATTGCAGCAAAAGCTCCCAGGATATTCAAAGATCTTTGCACCCTAACAAGGAGGATTCATCACGCACTGTAGATTCTGTTGAATAACGTTCATGAAGAAACTAGACAAGATAGCTGTAAAAATTAATAAGGGAGAGGAGAGAAACAATTCCCATAGCAGAGGGGCCCAAGGGACTTTGGAAAAAAGTGTTAAACTTCCTTAGATCACTGAAGCCTGAAAGAAAACATCAGTACCACAACCAATCAGGGTCTCAAGGTACTAAGTGGATGGGCACAATCAGGTCTCCCAGTTTAGAATAAAGTTTACGGAAGTAAAAAGCTGAATTTAAAGTTCTGCAAGTAAGTTTGGATGCAACACTTGAGTGATGAGTAACTCCTAGGAATGGCCTCCCTTACCTCCTCCCCCACTCACCCCATAAACAAAGTCACATCTCCTGCTATCTTAAAGTTATATTAGCAGCATTTTTTCAAAAGAACAGGTTTAAATATTTAAATATGGGTCCAACATGCTCCGTACACACAGTTACCCCAACAAAGGAAACAAAAGAACAGAATTCTAAAAGCTGGCAGCAGGGAAAAGGATGTACATGGGAAATAATAGAGAAAGTTATACCCTTGTATCATTCTCATAAAAAGAATGAAAATAAAAGCACAAATCAAAACTTACACTGGCCTCTCCAGGTTTGCAGTCCAGCACAGTTTTAAGAGATTGCAAGGAATGGATAATGCACTGTTCAAATTGGGATGGCTGAAAGGAAAATGACTTGTTAGCTTTAGATAAGCATGTCAAATATATACTACACAAATATATAAAAACTTCTATGCCATACAGTAAGCTCTTCATTTCCAAATTATCCCAAATAATGAGAAAAAAAAGTCACAACTCACGTATTACCAGAAGAACCCTTTGTAGTGATGCACTTTTGTACTTCTCTATAAAATCATTACCATAGATCAACATACAATTTTTTAATCTGATTGAGAGACTCCTACACCAAACAGCCTCCTCTAAAAGAGTCACAAAAGATTTTTATAACTTACTTGTGGTAGCATATATTCACAATTACATTACAGATGCCTGTGAGACCCTCCCTGCTCCCCCCATGAATCTAAGTTGGCATAGAATTTCAACTGGAAAATCTTATATTTCTGCATCTTATTTCAACAAAATGTTTCCAAGAAAAGTGTATTGAAACTGCTTTCCGATGGAGGAAACTGGTTTTCTGGGGCAGGTTTACCTTCAGGTTTCCAAACCTGGAGTACTAATGTCTTAATGCATGTATCAATTTCACTCTGAAAGTGCAAACGAGTTCACAGTACAAAAGTCATTAGTCAGTTTTTCCTTGTCTTTCTCTCTTCCCTGTTAAGTCACACTTTTTTTAATGAGGCTGCCTGCTGGTATTAGGCAGGAAGCTCTTGTGCCCGAAGCAGAGAAGTGTCAGTGCTCTAGGAAGGAGGGACATTATGCTATTGGATTTGGGTCAAGGAGGTGGACAAAAAGGCTCCTAAGCCATGTGAACCTGTTTTTCATCCAGCAGATAGTTTATGACATGTCACCAACTTCAGGCTTAAGGGTAACTTATTTCTGTAAATGCTGGGGTGGAGGTGGGTCGTGAAAATGATGCCTGCACAGCAACCTGAAAATCCTGAAAAAAAGCCACTAAAACAATCTGTATTATTTTTGGACTGGCTTGTAAGAAAAAGAACAGAAGTGAAGTGCTGCTCTTGTGTTTTTGTTTCCACACAATAAAACATCACAGCTCAGGAGAAGAAAGCTGTTCAGATACATTATTCTTTGGATATTATGAAACAGGAAAGTTGGTTCTGTGTCTTACTGTATTTTTTACCTGGAATCTAAATGCTGAAGTGCTTATCAACCAGTATTTCCTACAAACTTGAAATAAAAGATTTATTTAAACCCTAATGTGTCCCCAAAGAGACTGTCTGGCCCTTGTTAATACTGGTTAATTTTTGTTATAATATCACCACAACAAGCTCTACTTCAGTAGATAAATAACTTTGCTATGACAAAACAGAGACAACTGCCACCACTAAAATTCGGCATGTCTCAACCACAGCCTCAAAAGGTACCTAGGGAAGTGCTGTAAACAAGGAATTCATGGGTGATTTTGACATAAACAAACAAAATAAGCATTTTTAAACAAAGATGGGTTAGGATACAGCAAAAACATAAAGGAACAGAAACGTTTGTGGAACATCCTTCCTCCTCCTTCCATTTTACAGATGAGTAGTGAAAACCAGAAGTTAAGGGACTTGCCCAAGTCAGCATCAACTGAAACCAAGACCTGAAGCTGTAGATTTGGTTACAATACTACAATTGCCCAACAACACTCCTTCCTACAATGCGTATATTGTGATTGCTTAATACCCTCCTACTCAACTTCAAACACGTATTTATAGAAGCAAATAAGAAAAAACTAAAGAGTCTGTGGAGCGTTCTCTTAGATAATACACACAAAGTGACTCTCCCTCCCACAGGCCCTTTCTGCTTTCGCAGATTGTTTTTAAGTCACACCTACAACATGCTTGCTGTGTTTTAGGCATTACTCATTACTGTTTATTTCCAGAAAGCATCTCACTAATTTATCTGAATCTGGTTTCAAGTCATTTGTTGCCTACACACAAACAATCTCCTAAATTAGTTGTTTTTCAGTTCAATTTCTCATTATAACATGTAAGTGACCTATTTATTTAGCTACAGACCAATTCCATGGTAGTGTGCCTACTAAGTGATAAAGCACTTGATGTGAACTGAACTTCTTGTGACCTCAAAAATAATTTTTTACTTCAGTAAATCATCCCTAAAATAAGATGCTTAACAATGAAAGTTATTGTTTATCTCAGCAAAATTATACTAAAGGTCAGTAGTAATTCTACTGATCCATTTAAAAAAACCCTACTTAAGGCAGAAAGCCATGCTACATATCTTGATGATCAATTCTTATTTATTTTTGTCTACTAATACACGGCACAAGTCTGCAAAGCGCCTTTTTTTTTTTTTGAGTACCCTCCCTTATAAAATATCAAAATAACTTTCTCTGTGATTATCCTTGTTACATTATTGTATTACTAACTTTACATTTTCTTCTGCAACTTTGAAAATATTGCTGTCTCGTACTACCACTATCACTTAAAGTTACTTCAGACATAGTAGTTTAAGAAATACAAATAAAAATCTTGGAAAAGGAAGAAGTGTTCTTTATGTTTGGTGACAGGATCTGTTAGGAGCACCGTAAGTAAGTAACCATCTGGAAAAAAAAAATGTATTTTTTATCTGTATCCTGTTTTTTGTTGTTATAGAACTGTCTGTACCAGTATGTACATATATAGACAAAGTCCAAAGTTTTGGAGAGTATAGAAGCTGGTTTCATTACACTTGCAAAAAAAAAAAAAATCCAGCGAAGAAAGTGCCTACAAGACACACAAATATACCCACCAACGATGTCAAACCTTCATTGTCAACAACCCAGTCTTCCTTTTCAGCTAACCTCTTTATATCTGTGGAGACAGAGCAAGGGGAGGGGGGAGGAAAGGAGGTATTCATTTTCATTATTAAAAACTGCTTGAACTTGAAAAGATAAACCACAGACTTGTATGCAATGACTAGGCATACAAGCTAATAGCACTAAAAGCTTCAAAGCTTTTAGCATTCTCAAGTGACTAAGAATGGAACTTGTACATGGTATGCTGGTGACACCACAGAGAAGTGTATCTATGATACATGTCAAGAATTGCATGAAGCACATCTTTTACTGGAAAGCTTAAAATTAAAAGGAATATTGTTAAGGCTTTGGGTTTGTTTTTATTTTGGAAATTTTTACACACAACATAAACCACCACATTTAAGAACCCAAGTCTCTAGTCTATTATACTCTATCTCCTAATTAAAAATGCAAGAACAATTGCCTAGCCTTTTAGCAAAGACAAAAATGATAGCATATAATTAATATTTAATAACTATAAAAGAAGGTTCAGAGTCCCCACTCAGGGTCAAAGATCCACGGTGCTAAACTTTCATCAAAAATACATGAAGGCATATGCAAAAAACACACACTTCTACCCCGAAGATGCCAAGTTCTATAGGCTTACTGAGGCCAACAGGAGATAGGTCAGGATCCACCGTAAACAATATTCCTCTATGGACACGTCTTTTGCCTCATCACTTTTCCGGGGGGGGCCTTAATCGACTTATAAACAGAACAAAGATGAGCTGCATGCAGTTTGTGGGGGCCCTGACATACAGTTTTTCCACACAAATTGCTCATCAGAGCTGTCTGTACATCATGAAACTCCCTTTTAAATGAGCAGAAGTTTTGGTGATTTACCATCTCACCTCAAAATCCACGAAAAGAGGATAAGTAACGTCTGCTGAAAGGTATCTTCACTATTTTTGTGCTTTATTTAACTAGATTAAGATGATGGGTTATGGTGTCATACCCTGAAATTCTACATCTCATGGAAGAATAGGCTTAGCAAGGATAAAAAAATGTTATGGGATTGTGCAGAATAATTATTCTGTCCTTTTCACTATTCAGTAAACCTCTTAATTCAGCCGATACTCTTGTGAGGCTTTAGATTGCACTGGTCAGCCTTCAGATGTTTCGGTGGATGCTTACTTTTTGCATTCTGTTCTGAGCTAATGCAAACACAAAAAGAAACAAATGTCTTTCCTGTATTTCACTGCTCACCAAATTCCAGTCAAATACATTCATATAAACCCCGTCTAGTCTGGCATTCACATAACTTGGCTTTCATGACCTTTATGACCAGCGATCACGTATGAGAGGGAAAGAACACAGACTGCTTCTCAGGGCCAGCATGAGTCTATGGTGTTTATCATAAGAAAACCCTGTGTGTGGGCAGATTTGTCCTATTTAATAGCTAATGGTAGAGTGCCCTATTACAAATTTTAACAGATCTGGATGCCTTTACAACACACAGCAAGAGATGAGACTGAACTTTATATCAGCAGTCTATGCAGCTCTAATTTCAGAGTGACTACAGATGTGAGATTTAAGTCCAGGAGGAGCTTTTTGGTCTTATATATTACAGATATAACTACATCTGAGATCCATTTACATACCTCCATGAGAATATCCATTAAATGTTTTTTCATTGTTCCTCCAAAAATAACAGTTTGTCCAAGAGCACAATTAACCTGGTCCTGTCCAGAATAACTACCTAAACACATTCAACATACACAATTTTGCTTTAGCTGGTCAAGAGCAACAACAGCAAAGTGTCCCATACACAAGGCACGCAGTGCAACAATATGGAACGAGAGTCATCATCCATGCAGGCATCTCCTGTTTGATGCTACAGCCGATACACAGAACTGCTTCGCTGACAGGGGACGGAAGCAGCAGTCAAGCAAGGCCGCTGTTATTGGCGAGATGAAAGAGCCAACATAACATACCAGCATCTGGAGGGATCTGATCTCTTTTGATTTAAGAAAGAAAACTATTCATAAAGATGTCCCGACCAAACAGAGAATCTTTCACACACAGACTGCTTTTATAAAAATCTAAGGTACAGACTACCACAAGAGTTCTTCCTTCACAGAATGTATGTGGCCAGCAGCAGGACATAAGCAGCAGAAACTCTGGATCTCAACAAAGAACTGGGCTAATGTTATGATGCAACAGGTAGGCAAAACTAAGAGAGCCAAGAGTCAGAGCTCTTTGGACCACAGTGGAGAAGCTAGGTGGGTAGCTCACAGGGATTTGATAAGATAAGGATTGTCAGCAAAATGTTTTGGAGCTAGCTACTGCCTTCCTTTGAAACAGTCAGGAAATCTGATGTATCACTCTCAATTCCTAGGCAGCGGGCAGTCAGTCCAACAGGACATCCTCATGTCACAATGTGGGGGGGAGGAAATATTTTTAATCTGCCATTAAAAAAAAAAAAAAAATCATCTCAGTTGTGCTAAGTGACAAAAATCAAAAGAGATTTCTTCATACTTTAAGTGAAATCTGAAATAGTGGTTATCCTTTCCCTAAGGAGTTTTAAAGAGACAAGACAACCTATGTACCTGTATGGCCAACTAGCTTGTTATTAATGCAGAAAAATAATGCTATAGCCAAAATAGGATTTAATAAATGAATTCAAAGCTAATAATATAATTCAAATCAACATTGCTTCAAATAAGCCATAGAGGCTTTATCATTTGTGGTCACCAAAAGTTTAAAAACTTGCTTGATATGGCCACCTGTGCTTAGCACACTTAAGGCTTGGGTAAAACACTTAGCTTCATGTCACC